AACAGAGATGAAACTAGCTACTAACCCTTTCTCTTTTTTTCGTTACTGTTAAGTGCAAATTTGAAATGGGTTGAAAGTGCAAATTTTTTTCAGAAAATTGTAAGTTAAAACACGCAAAACTATACATTTTAAAACATTTACATATATTTTCAATACCACTTGCACTGAAAACACAGTGTTTGCACAGAAACATGAGAAATAAGCAGGTAAGTCTACTCAAGGCATAATCAGAGAAATATTGTCTCCTCAAAACTACTAAAAAGTACATAACTTTCACATGGTAGTGAATTTTAACAAAAAACTAAAACATAAGCAGTAGAATTTGAGACAATTTAAAATGATAGGTTGAAAACAGAACTTCACCTAGTAATTAGGAAATTTATATATAAAAGAAAATTATATAACTTAAGGTTTTGTGGAGTTTTCACAAATTTCCTGTGAATTTAAAGAAATCTGATGCTAAGTTCAATTTGTGATTTAAGAATTTTAATCTGTGTTATTCCTACAATAAAATACTATTATAATCCATTGACAGGAATGAGAATTTAAATTAATAAAATTAAAGACCGAGTGCCAAGCCAAAAATTTGAAATAACACAGTAGCCCTCTCCAAATGTACTACAGAAATAACTGCATTAGTCAAAGCTCTTAGACAAAATTGCGTCTTTATCCTCTCCAGAAACCAAGACAGGCTTTGTGATAGGACCTTTGAAACTCAGTACTGAGAAGGCAATAGAGATTAATCAGAGATTTACCCTCTAATGACGTTCACATGCATAGGCTTACCAATTTTTCTCTTTCTTAACATGTCTTTTCCTTTCAGCTGAAGTTTTGGTTGCATCAGAAAGGCCAATGGCTTTGTTAGAGGTATAGTTTATAAGTACAAGGACATTCTCCAAGCTGATTTGAGAAGTAGGTACCCACTGCACCAAATCTACCACTGCCACAGCATTGGCATTGCATAATTACACATTCCAGCACAAAGCCCAGTAAGAACATACTGCGTGTGATTTGAACTGAGGAAAAAAAAAAAAAAACACTTAACACTTCCACAAAGTGATTGCACAGATAGAAGCAAGACAATTTAGAGGAGAGGTCTTTGCTGGACAAGTCAAATTTCAAAGATCTAAATAAGTTTATTTCTGATAAATAAAAGAGATTGTTAATCTAGGAGTTATCACCACCTAGATAGGTAGTTATTTCAAACAAAACACGTGAAAACGTCTTACCTCTTCTCCTGAAAGATAGTAAGCTGAAAGGAGTCCACCAACAAAACGGATGTTCACTTCAAAAACTGAAATTTCTGCATTCTGGTGGAATAAACAAATATGGTTATAGTCCCTATCTGATACTTTATTATAAGAAATATTATCCCTACTGCATTTATAGATTCTGATTATGTTTCCTTATTTTCTTATTTTCAGCTAGAAAAAGATTAAGCTTATTTTTAAATATACGCAGGCATTACACTACAACAGCACTGAACAGCAAAACACAGAAGATGGAGGGAACATGATCATTATAGAACCTAAAGCATTTTAAAGAATTTCCTTCTCTTCCTCACTTAAAAAAAAAAATGCTTTATTCTTCCCATCCTATTTAACTTTTCATGCTTTCCACTTGCTTATGAGGTATTCTATAATTCTATGCATCTAGCACTTTGCACTTTTGCCCAGGCACAAAATATGTATAAGACTGGTACCCAGCAGTTGGGCTTCTAAGCTTTCAGCACATAAATAAGATGTTTGACTCGTGTGTTCTGGGTTACTCCTGCTTCTAGTGTTTTTCCATTTTCTATTTCCTGACATGCGCTATTGCTGTATCAAACATAAATCAATGCATGGCAGGGCTGCAGAATGCTCTTCCAAAGGGCTTAAAGGTTTTTTCCTCTTTCAGCTATTTTTTGTACTTTTTTCCAGTTTAAATGTCAGTTTATATAGGAAGGAAGAGGCTGTTCCGAGTTTTCCGTGAATTTTAAATTCTAACAAACTACCTTCTTAAGTACCTCTAGGTTACTTATTAAAGGTACTATTTCATGCCTGTCAGTTTTCAGTTCACTCCGATTAAGTAAAGGTATCTAGACATGTTATAGAAGATTGTTTAGTGTTTCATCAGTTGTGAAGGTATAGACTTCAAAAACACTTACTGGCTTTCTACAACACGTGTCGTCCACTTTGCCTTAGACTTTTACTTTTCTCCTTTTAAAATCTTTTGTGCAGATCCCCCTCTAAAAACTGGAAATATTATTTCACCCATAGAATAATTGCTCTGATTAATATATAATTCATATGGTATGCAAATACATGCTGATGTGCTTTTTTTTTTTAAATACACAAATATACAACTCTCATGGACAGAGCAGCCATCACACACCTCTGCCTACTGAAACTTCACACTAGGTAGGCATCAAGTGTTAAGACTGCAATCTGAAAAAGCCATCATGCTAGTGTGCAGCACTGCTCAGAACAAGACAAGTTTCTTCCAAGAAGATCATTTTAAGTGTACCAAAAACTTTGCTGTTTCTACTCATGAGATCCTCTCCTAATATTGATCTACTCTCATTTTTTTTGGTGGGGGAGGGGGGCAGGGGGTGGAGAAGGACTTAATTTTTGGTTCCAAAATTCATCTGAGATTTCTGTTTTTAAGCGCTCAGTCACTGTCTCAGTGAGACCAGTAAGAAGTGGAATGAAACAACTGGCAATGGGTATTCAGTTCAGCTTTAACTAGTATCATTTCTGTGCATTTCTATTTTTTTTTCTTTTTTTCATTCTAATACCAAGGAATATGGTTAACCTGAGGAGACAGATAAAACATTTAAACCCTCTAGAAATCTAAACCACTAGACTGCACAGCTGTTCACCTACCAAGCAGACTACCTGTATAAGAAGAGAAGTTTACATTCGCTAAAGTCAGTGCAGAAAACAGCCCACAGAGAACTGATCTGACTTAAGAAAAGCTGATCTCATCTACTGAAGAAAGGATGTTTGATAAGGGAATGACAGGGACAGCTTTCCTGGAACTTTAGCTAGTCAATATACACCCTTTTAAGAAATGTCTGTGTTTTAGTTGAGAACTTTCTTCCAAAGATTCTTTCCATCCCAATCCGGAGCCTCAGTATATGCAAAGAACTTTCTTTTCTTGGATGTGGGAAAGTTGAAGCTGTTAAGAGTTAGATATTAGGCAAGGGAATGAGTTAATCAGGTATCTCAGACACTTGTGTTTCCTATAAGGACTGAATTAAACTACTTTTTGATTTTGAATTGCTTGCCAAAGTAAATCCAGTGGTAAACAAGCTCTTCAACTGAACATTTTTTCTCTAGAACCTTACATTTTACCTCTCTGGATTTAATATTGCTATTTAACTCACAAGGCATTGCCATCCCTCCAGGAATGGAAAGGCCCATTAAGAAAAGCTCAGAATATATGCACTGACATCTATTTTTGGAATTCAGGTAAAAGACAAAAAGAATACTTTGAAGTAATGTGAGAATAAAGATTTTACTTTCAAACCACCAAAACTAACTCCACTGTAATTCTGCATGTTTGTTAAACCGGAGATCTTTTAGGACATTTATTGAAGGTACTCATTGTTTTAATGTCGTCAGATTTCCAATCAGATTTCCACTTGCACACATCTCTGAGGTTTTGTTTGAAATCCTCATCTCTTACTAAAATCTTTATTCAAGCCACTGAAGCACATGCAGAGAATGAAACAGACATCTCATTAAGCGTAGATTTGAAAGCTGTATGTTTAATAGGATCGGTATTCCTAAACTCATTATACCAGGCTAGTATCATTCTGGGAAAGCACACAGATTATAGCAACTTGTAAAACATGTAAAGAGCTTTTATGATTCCATATCAAAGAAGCATTCATCTCTACAGGAAAAGTTCTTATTAGGAAGTAGTCTGTTAAGAAAAGTGGATGCGTCCTAGAAGAACACTGCTACTGCTATATCAACTTTACCCTTCTTCTCCAAAACCCGACAAATATTGCCAAATAAAAAAATGCCAAGTTGTAATATTAGCTAGTTTGTGTTACTCTGCATCTCTATTTTATTTGCAAACCTGTGCCCGGGCCCACCTACCCTCAGCTACACCTCTCTTTCCTCACTCTTACGTAAACTGGAAGACTAAGTCTGTAATTGGTAAAGTGGTGACACTTCAGCCGTCTGTGGTTAAATTTATCGCCTAAAGCACTGTTCAGACAAAGCTACTGTCAGTTAGGCTCTCTTGAAGCCTTTGTCCTATGGGATGTCTCCAGTTTCCTAAATATCAGTATTCTCATCTTTCTGGGTCGTTTCCTTAGCACACCTCTTTCCTGAAAATTTTCCTCTCCACAAATTCATAAACGAAGGCCAAAACAATTTCCATCTATGTTTTCTCACAGGAAGTCATCCTTGGTCGTAAACATAACATTTGAAATAGGACACAGTTTTATTTATCTAGGATCAGCTTCCACCTGGCATTCATCAGCATTGGTACTTGCTCTGCCATTCATAATTCAGTTGGAGAAAATACTGTACGCTTTCTCTGCGGATGAGTGTATTTAGACTTATTGAATCACTTCAATTTATATTTGATACAGAACATACTCTGTTAGTCTTTGTAAAGTTCCAAATAAGGCTCCAATCCCACCAAATAATTTCAGTCTTCTGTACTGGACAGATTCATTCCAGAACTTTTTTCTTTCAGTTCTCCTGTACTTGTCTCACCAAGAGTGTAATAAGATTTCAGTCACCTCATTTCCACCTACTGTTTATACATACAAGGAATGTAGCAATACCCTCCCCTGCCTATCACAGTGTACCATCATGAACAGCCTATATCCTGCAGGCATGGCTCATCCACCCTCCTAAGTAGCTAGTTGTCATTAAAAAAAAAAAAAACCGAAACTGTGTAAGACAATTCCAAGGACCCTATATTAAATAATACTGAATAATGACAGATAACACCCATAATTCTAGACAAAAAAAATGGCCATGTAAGGGCCTAAAATATCCTCCTCCTGTTTAAGTACAAAGATTGGGAACAAATCGAAAAAATCTTGGTGTTACCAGGCAGTGCAGAATAGAGACATGAAGACTACAGCTTACCTCAAGCTACTTTAATGAAATCACATTTTAATTTCTTGTAATAGTAGAAAAAATACATTAAATTTGTATTCCACAGGTGAAGTTAAGGAGCAGTTTGTTAAAATATTCAGTTCCTACTGACAAGAGAAGTAATTTTAGCAAGTTTTGCTGCAAGTATCAAAGCCTGGTTATTGCTCCTCCTGTTATTTAAACTTATTGAAATCTCCACATGGCAAACTATAAAACCTTAAAAGGAAAACAAGCACAAAAATAAAGTGTTACAGACAACATTAACGAACTCTAGCAGAAAAATAATTGCATTTAATAATAAATTTACTCAGGATCTCCTTTTAATTCATCAGAATCAGTTGTTATTCATACTTATAATCAAAACAAGATCAAGTCCCTATGGAGTTTATCATTTAGAGTGTACTAACAAGTCCACTTTGGCAAACAGATAGTCTCACAAATTAAAGAACCATTTTCAAGTGCTGGCTGCCTTAAGCTCCCTCACAGAGTTCCTATACATTTACCTGAAGTCTATTTACTCACACCTCCCGCACTTTATTCAGGAAAGCTATCTTGCAGCAAGTTGTTATATTGGAAAACTTTCTAATTTTTTCACTTAAAGACAAAAAAACAACAACAAAAGATACAGTTCCAAAATCTATCCATTCCCAAGCCAACACTAGAACACTAGGTTAGGGACTGTTAATTACTACAATGAACCACAGTACCTACAGGTTGAGAGCAGCAGGATTTAGAATTGCTCTAAGATATTTCTAAGCTTGAAATAAACAGTTTGGTGGATTCTAGAAGTCTGTCCCTGTTACTGACTGCCACGCCACAGACAGAATTGAACTACAGCACGATTAATAATAAATGCGGAAAGCATTATCGATTGGATTCAAAGAACATTTACAATTTTGGGATCTTGGAAAAAGGATATACAATCTATGCAAGACAGAGGAGATAAATGTAACTTCATTATCAAATGTCTATACTTTCCTCGGTCTTTCTTAGTCCCCCAAAAAGCACACATAATACATGCAAAACATCTATGCACGATGTTGCATGAAGCCGCATACGTGCAGCTGAAGCTGCTGCATGATGCTGCTACTTTAAAAGATACTTACATTTGCAAAGCTAATTACAAAGATAAACATCAGAAGTGGTAAGTAAGCCTTCAGGCTTCGAGGTGGCTGATGAAATCAGATGCATGACTGACCTCTGTAAACAGCTTTACTCAGGAGTACTGGCAGGACACAAGTCTTAACTTATTGTTGCTGCCTTACTCATCCCTTCTCTTTAGACAGTTCTCTGACTCTCATAGTACCCATCTTCGAAAACAAATAAGCAAAAGCTCTTCATACTTTCCCTACAGCATTTCATCCACTTTTTCCTAGGTGGATTCATCCTGTGCAGTTAACAAGGAAAGCTATCTGTGATTAGATAACGCACAACAACTCAATGCTTGCACAATAAATATGTCAATTAAAGTCAATTAAAGTACATCCACACAGGTAAAGCTACTGCACAGACCACTGCTTGCCAACCTCCATTTCGGCCAAAAATAGAGAGGGATGAGGTAAACAAAGCAAAATCCACTAACAAACAGGAAAATTATTTCAGTCAGGTGTCCTGGTTTCTAAAATCAGCTCTGAGAAATTTTTCTAGAAGATGAGCCCATTTTCCTCTTCCTCCAACAAACTCATTGCTTTCTGCTCCATACCTTGTGTCCACTCTGGACACGTGCTGGGGAGCGACTCCGGGCAGATCAGGTAGTCTCTCATCTTAAAGAAATTGGGCTGGGAGCGGGGGGGTGTCTGCACGTAGAAGGCAAAGACTGTCAGTTCCAGTACCCAACAAACAACTCCCTAGATGTTCAATGCTGTACCAAATGGCTCAGCTACTCCAGCATTATTTGCCTGACTTCTGACCCCTTTCTCCATTTCTTTGAAAAGCCTCTTCCAATCTGTCTTCCTAAATATCAACTCATGTTGGTTCACCCCCCCGTGCAGCGGAGTCTGATAGCTTTTTCCAGCCCAGCGTGGAGCAGCACTTGGGCAGCGGTACGGCAAGTCTTTCAAGAAAGCACTGAACGCTCAGTGTGTGCACGCTTCCTAAAGCAAATGTGAAAAAATAGAAATAAAGAAGCACACAGCAGTGTGTAGCTGGAGCTAAGAAACACTCAAGTTCCCTAGTGATTCCATAAACGACAAGCTCCCTTTTCTTAATGGTGGTGCTGCTTTCAACCCAGCCCAGGGCAGCCTTGGGCAGGATCATTTATAAACACTGCAAAAACAGCATGCAGGCAGCAGCACATGTGGTGAGGACAAACCACATCCTCAGCTCTATTAACTCCTTAAGATCAAAGATGGATCCAAACACATATGAAGCAATACCATGCAAAACAAAAAGTGCACATTCATGATGTAAAGACTACTGATTAGTCACAGCTGAATGTCCAGTCTCTTTCCAACAGGGCTAAATTTCTTAAGAGCAAAAGAATCAGAGGATGCAAATTAATTCCGGAAAAACTACTCAGTCAATTTAGCTAAAACTTCAGCAAGGTATCAAGTGAGAGAAATTTCAGTAGTTACGGGAGAACAAACACAGAGCATTACAACGTACCTATCGGTTTTAAAAACAGAGGGCCACCAGCTCCGGTTACAATAGAAGTAGCCTAAGCATGCTACACTTCAAAAGGGGAAACTTGCAAACGTTTGCACTCACAAGTTTACCAAGAAAGGTAATGTTTACTTATCCAGAATTTTCTCCCTAAAACAAAACAGCTTGCCTTCTTCAGAAATGTAGACAATTAAAAGTAATACTTAACAACTAATTTATTAAATTTCAGTCCCTCAATTCAACACGTGAGGAACTACTGATGTGACATGTTACTCGTCACATCATCTTTATTCTATAATTCCTTTTGTCTGAATAAGCTAATGGCTACCTTATAAACTGAAATTTGGAAACCTGTATCGTTAGGCAATGAGAATCATCTAGCTCTAGCCCAATAGTTCAACGCATCCACAGAATATCTGAAGTATTACAAACTTCTACAAAAGATTATTTGCATTCTGTTTAATACAGATGGCTAAATTAAGTAAACAGAAAAGATTCTGCCACAGACTAATCACAGCTATGTTTCGTAATGAACTTCTTAAAGAAACTCAAAATTTAAATATTATTGTTCTCAGATTAAATGTATATAAAAACTAACCCTAATTATTCAAATAAAGACAAAATATACTTTCTAAAAAACTGCCTGATTAACCTGCCAGTGCCCAGCAAATAATCAGAAATATAAAAAAGAAACATATTTCATACAATTTGCAAGAAACAACATTTAAGGCTTTGTTAAGGTGTCAATTATTAAAAACTAAATCGCTTTCATCGGAAAAGGGTTTCTAAAACAGGAGCAAGTAATAGCGTATAAAACGTTAATGCAGAAAACGCTACATAATGCCTGATAAATGACTAGGTTTGGGCTTTAAATGCTTAAGCACAAAAGAAGAGAGGGCCCTGCTGTTCTTTGCATTGAGTAATTTCCAGCTTTAAACTCTAAGATACAGATATAAAGCAACATTTTAAACTAGAACTTATATCTAATGTAGAAAGTCAAACAAGAGTTGAGGACAAGTTGAATAGCTTCAGACAAGTTAAATTCAGCCAATTTAACCAAACAAACTGATTTCAATTATTAAAGCTGCTGTTGTGGTTGTTCTTTTTCATTTCCTCATTTTACCTGGGGAGAGTTCATTTCGTTAGTATTGATGCCAGTGCAAAATTCATTTCTGTATGACTACTACAGATAAAGTATTAAGAAAATAAATTCTGTGAGGTTTTGAGCCCAAGGCATCTATTTAAGACACTGACTGTTGTTTCAGATGCATGTCAATATCATCTGTGAAGCAGTTTTAGTAAATCTGTTTGATCACTGCATTGACTGATTAATGCAATATAAAATTTCAGATATTTAGGATGACTTCATATTTTTTACTCATTTTTTCACAGATATACTTAAATTTTACGTAGTTTTTAAAAATAATACATAAATTAACTTGATGAGCAGAAATTGTAGGCAATACCATCTACAAGGAGACGTTTGCAGTACACAGTAGAGCAAGATTATGTGTAAAACCAAAGGCTTTAGTGTTATTAATGTAAATCACTAATTAAAACAAAGCTACCATGTCCTTCAGATATCTGAAACTGCTCAGTAGCACAGTTCAAAGTCCTGTATTTGTTACTAATGTAAATATAAATGCACGCTAAATTGTTGCTTATATAAACTATATAATATCCACTCTTCTTAACTCTTTCTCCTTAAAATCATAATTAAGTCTCAAGTATGCAAGAGAAGCTAATTAAAACTGACTTTTTGCATAACATATTAGAAAATGTACTTTTTTTTTTCTCTTAGAAAGTGTTTCTACCATTACACACCATAACTACAAGAGCTTTAAAGTGCTTAGTGTACCATGCCTGTAATGCTTTACTGCAACTATACAGGTCAGTACTCCATTCGCTCCCTGTACCCAGCAATTACAATACATACCCTTGCCAAAAAGGGAAAAAAAGACCAAAACAAGGGCTTCTACAATTTAATTTTTAGCAATTTATTTTTAGCATAAAAGCCCTATAAATGAACTTTGCTCTCGCACTGCATATTTCCCAGAAAATAGGATCAATTCTACATGCAGTTGTGATGACCAAGGGCCTTATACGACTAAAGCAGCTCAGTTTGTGCCAACTAGTTCATAGCATTCAGCTTCACTTTACTATAATACGCAAAGGAGTTTAGTTGACACTTCCGGTGTGTAGCTTTCTCTAATTACAAGCCTAATTTGTGGAAGATTTCAGAAAGCAAAAATGCAACATGTTTGCATAACTAAAAAAAAAAAAAAATAATGCTTACATTGACATATCCCGATTCTTCCATCTAAAGGGGGTTCAACGTCTGTTTTCACTTTGCGGTAAATAATATTCTATTCCTTCTTCCTTCCTTCCTTCCATTCAACTGAGTCTCACCTACCTATCTAAATCTCTCAAATGGACAAACACACTACATGTAAGTAGAGCAGCAGCTTCATTACAGCTCCATCTCCTACTTTATCTATCAATAGTCTAAATTCCGTAGCCTTATATGGTGCTTGCAATATTAGAACCCAGTCCTCAGTTGGTCCCTGGATACTAAACATAGCATTAAGTGTTAATCAGCAATGCTACTTACCACATTGAAATCTAAGTTTTTTTCAACCCACTCCTTGGCTTCCTTGAATTCCTCTTTCATTTCCATGATGTATAATGTATCAAGGGCATCCACTATTGTTGCTCCTTGAATGTTACCTGAAATACAAAAAGACTAAGTGATTTATTTCCTAACAGAAGGCTTTTTGATTAAATCTAATCAATTTAAATTAATTTGAATTTCAAAATCCAATTTTAATTAATTCAGTTAAAAATTGGATGTATAAGCATTGAAGTGGGCAACTAGTAACTCACAATCTTAACTTTGATATCCATGCTGCAACACAATATGATAATATTGAAGTACTTTTTCTACTAATAAAATTTTGGAGAGTAGCTCTGATGCACTACCTTTTCAGTGATGCTTTTGCATTTGTAAACACTGAGAAAACAGGTTACTGTAAAATATAATTCAGAGAAGACAATAAATCTCTTTGGAAAATCACAAACGATTCTTCAGTTTGGAGTTAAAAATCAATTACTTTTTTGTTTTTACACTCTGCTCAATAATACACATAAAGCTTTAAGAAGGTGATAAGTAGCGTCCACATTGCGGTTAAGCAAGTCCTTTAAGAAGTATCCTCTCCAAAAAACAATTTCTTTGATACTGTGCATCACCATATAACCTGCAAAAGATAGCATTAGGGAGAGCAAAAGTTGACTTGCACACATCAGAATTTTTCAGCTTCGGAGAGACTGCCTGACACTGCTTTTCAGAGCTAGCTCCTGCTGTTTATACAGATGGCATCCTTCTGTCTCTAATATGGAGACTGATAAAAGTCAGTTTACTATCCTTCCGTGAAAGCTGCAAGATGAAATATCGCCAAGAGGGTCACTCTGGCACGGACTGAATGTTCACAGTTCTGTTCTGAAAGGGTAATATGGGGGCTGGGGGAAGAAAGTGAAGCCACCCAAATTACTGTCCCGTCCTTTTTGTGGTTTACCAGCATCGAGGTTTTGTGCTCCACCATGAAATGGATAAGAAACTAGAGACCTCCATAAAGCAGGATAAACATCTTTTTTTCCCCTCAATTTAAGCTTCCAGGTGGAAAATAATTTTCCATGTGTTACATCTCAACAAAGGATACTTTAAACTACTTTAACAGTTATGTTGTACACGTAACAGAATTGGGTGCTTTCTCTGATTTACTATCTGCTAATTACTTATGCCTTCCCTTCTGGAGCATTTCTTTTCTTCTCTAATGGAAGTCTTCTATGTGTTTTCTCCCAGATATTCCACTACTAAAAGTGCAGCCTTTTTCGGTAAGAAGGACATGTTATCTTCCCACAACTCATCTGGAGCTTAGCTGCCCTCCTCTCAAAAGGAAAAGCTTCACTTTAAACTTGGCAAAGTAGCTTGTATTTTTCCTGAGCTCACAAGAAAGTGAGATGGAGAACTATGGAGAATTGCTCCAAGGACATGTGCTCAAGAACAGTAATGCAAAAAATCTAGAGATGTTTAATAACTCTGAACCACAAAAGCAGCTCATAGCGAAGTTTTACAACTGAGCTCTGCTTACAGAAAAGTCATCTATATCCTGATTTGCTTCAGTGGATTTTGATAGGCTTGCAAGTGCAATGACATTCTTTGTGCTAATCCTCTGGTAATATAGCTAACACCACCTCTTAAGTGTTAAGCTTTGAAATTTAAGGATTATTACTTAACTCACTACTGAGTCAGAAGAAAAAGACGAGAATTCCACCCTGTTCAGAAATTTCCCTTGGAGTCATCCACTTCCTGCAATTTTTTCCTGCATCTGGCCTACACAGAAGCAGAAAATAGGAGAACCTAAAGTAGATCTTGCTTTATTTGAAACAACGTTTGTCATTATTTTGAAAGCTTCTGAAGATAGAATAAAGCAATTTATGTAAACATTAAATAGAGAAGTCAAGTTCTAACAGTTATACTTCAAAATACTTGATAAAAGATAAAAGGACCCAGAATTTATTTTTAAAGTGTTAGTTTAGAGGCCAAAGTTACGACTTGTGAACAACGGCAGTTAATGCTGAGTTAGCCAATAAGATAATCCAAGTTCTCTGGAAGAACTTAACAAGTGTTAAGAAAATTGTGCAGCTGAGCAGTTCATTTATTACCAGTCAGTCAAATAAGGGAGGAAGAGAAGAGAGGGAAAGAAAAAAGGGAATGAGTACTTTTCATTATGGAGTAAGATCAATGTCTCATAAGCCTATATACACTATGTTTCCTAAAGTGCACCAGATAAACTATCCAGTGCGGTATCATGCAAGTTTCTATTTAACACTCTCACGTGACTCATTAGTCATGGACTGCATCAGGCAAACAAAGATTATTACTAGGCAATTACAATAAAAGCTTATTTTCATACGATACAGACTATTTGGATAGGAGGATTGCTTTTATTATAACACCACCACACCTTGGAAAACTACTATAAATTTGATTAACAGTGAGCATCAAGCTACAAAAAAATCCCAGAAAAATTACAATCTCTAGAGTTTCACAGTTGTCTTGGGTAGGAGGAGGATATCACAAATAATACTCTGACCAAATTCATATACCTGAAATTATGAGTTTATTTATCAGATAATATGAAAATTAGTACACTCAAGATAGAATTTAGAAAACATATACCTGAAATGAGTATCTTAGATAAAAGGGCTAACGAGATGTACAAGCTCACAAAACCAAGTGAAATATATTGCTAATCTCTACCAAAACCACCAAACCAAGCACTTATATAAGCTTCGTATTAGTTCATTTCTTAAACATGCTTATGTTTCTACGTCTGCTCTTTACTACCAGCGTCATTTGTTGCTATGAGCGATTACTAGAGCACGTGTGACACAGCTTACAAGACAGGTAACTGAAGAGAAAGCAAAAGAGATCAGTCAACATGAAACATGAAAGTGGACTATCCAGCAAAGTCTGAGCAACATCCTTTCACATTTAGCACTGACAGTTTTTAGTAATGATCTGGAAGAAAATAAAAAGAAACCACTGCTGCTAAGACTTGTGGATGAGAAACAAGGATGACTAATTACCCAGCGCTTCTGAATAGCCTGGTATAAAACACAGAGCAGTCTGGGTGATACACAGTGGGTCCATTTAAACAATATGCTTTTTTAGTACCTCATAACGCAAAAGTATGTACACACAAACAAGGAAAGCAGGCCTGTGTTAGAAACTGCGGTAGCCCCATTGGGGCAGGAGGGAAGAGCAGAATAAAAATAAAGTGCTTAGAGGGTGAATGGCTCTGTATGAGTTTCCAGGGTGACACCGCAGGGAGAGCTGCTACGGCTGTCCTTGGATGACAGGCTTCTTCGCACAGCTCTGTGACTGAGCTTAGGTGGCCATAGGGTTGAAGAACCACAGCTGGCTCCCGGCCAAACAGTGTGGAGAGTGGGCCAAAAGGAGCTTTTATTTGTCTAGCCCAGCCTTTTAGACACGGTTTATATTTTTGCCAAGAGTCTGAAATAGAATACAGTCTGTTAGCATGCCAGAATCGATGCATGTTAGTACATTTAATAGTTTGTTTACAGCTTTCCCTTCCGTTTTACACCAAGTTTGGTTCTCCAGAACATCCACATTCCTCGCCATTAAATATACTTGGATTTGAGAAATAATTAAGATATACATACTATATAAACACACACACACACACATGTTCTCCGATGTGTGTGTGCATGTGTATAACATAAAAGTTTCAGAGTTCTGTCGTAATGCGCTGTCTCTAATAGAATGGAAGCCAGGCAAAGATGCTGCTCTCCCCTCTCCCTACTTGAATTTAACTGCTTTTCTTTTTCTGACTCACTGCCATACTCTGAATGGAAGAAGACTGTGGCAAAGTATGGAACAAAATTGGAAGATAAGAAGAGATGAACTATGAAGTGGCTTCAGGTCATGCCAGAATTCAGCTCCCTTGCCCATAACAGTTCACCATCCGGCAAGCATTATAAACTAGGATTTCTTTGCAGGACTAAAATTCCTTGTTCTTGTATGACTGTAAAAGATGAGTATGATTTTTTTTTTCCTCCAGAAGAGTGGTTACATTTCTGGGTTCCTGAGATGAAGTACAAAAATTCGTACATGTTATATTTATATGTGTAATTTTTTTAACGTGGTAGAAGTCTGGCACATAGAAATAATGGATGTTCCTTCAGTGCAAAAAAGTGCAAGTGCAAGTGCTCAAAAATAAGTTACCTCAGTTGTTACAAGAATTCTGACTACTTTAAACTACAGTGGAAAAGAAAAAGAAAACTTTATACCTAGCTCTATTCAGATTTCATTCAGTCTTCCCCCAGCCCCATGATCATCTGGACCCTTCTTTGTTTCCATACTCAGTGAGGAAAACTCGTTTTGTCATTTTATAGCTATTTCAGATTGAAGAATCTCAGTTCAAGCAGATGCATTCTATGAAACCTTCCTACGGTTTGTCATTTGAGACTCACCAAAATATAGAAACATAATCTGGCACAATTTTTCATTTTATCTAGCCATTAAGAATAATTCAGGATTTTAAATATAGAGAACAAGACCAGAAACTTCATAACATTAAATATCAAGAAAAATCAATAGAAAACATCCAGATTTTTTCAATTACATGTGCATACGCATTCCACAGTGGTAACTCTAAAATATATATGCAATATACTAAAGAATACAAATAGGTTTGAAACAAAATTAACATTTTGATTAGAGCTGTAGGTTTCTTAGAGGTGGTTTCAAAAGCTGAGTCAGATTTTAAAACAGTGCTTTCCTTTATTTAAAGTTCACTGAAAAGGTTGCTATCCAATATCATTAGCAATTGAAAGTGCCAAGAGTGATTAATTATTAAAACATACTATGCCAAAACATGAAACTCTTACTCGAGTAGAGCTGGCAAAACCCCAGCAACACTGAGATTTTTGAATTTCAGTCACTGTAACCATCCGGTAAGAGTGGGAAAAGAATGCTTTCAATTTTTTACAGATCTAGCTTTTCACGCATTGCTACACGGAAAAATGTAGTGATACTTCTCGAATACTTTTTAATCTCCAGTATTTTGTAGTTCTGTGCATTTTAGAGCCAGCTCTGCTGTCTTTGTATTTAACAGCCCTTGACGAATTTTTTTCTCCATTAG